CAAAACATATCATAGTCCTTCACAATTTAACCTTTTTCTTCAAGCTTAAATCATTTCATTTAGGCATTTTTTATATATAACAAATCATGCACACAGAAAACAAAAAAATTCTTCCAGTAATTTTTTCAAATCCAAAATTCCCATTTCTAGCCAGCAAGAAGACTGCCCTTTTTCTATCAAGTCAACCTGTTACTTCATGGTTATTACTGGCATAATAAATACAGTACAATGTCCGAAATCCAGACTCGTCAGGACTTTGGCGATTCCGGATTTGGGATTTTTTTCGATATTAGATCATCAGTTTAAATCTAGAAAGATGGCATGTAGAAATTATAAAATTAAAAATATGAAATCGTGATTTATGAAATAATGAAGCATTTATGATCTAAAGGGTATCAAAATTTACACAAAAGATTAATATTTACCTAATTTATTTGTTTACCTAATTAAACATTTCTTTCAATGTAAGTTGTTTAAAATGCTTCGTTTTTTGTGCTAATGCTTTCTCTTTAATTCTGTAGACAGACATAATCTCTTGTTCAGTTACATTGTTGAAGTCCTATAACTGCTGCGTCGAGAATTCTGACTAACTTGTCAATTGAAATTTTTTCATTTTCAGTAACTTCTCTGTCACTTTCTTCACTATCGGTAGCAATATTTTCTGGATCTAGAACCATACTACAGATTTCGCTATTCATTAATTGATTGATGATTGAGAAGCATTGTCATCACAATGAAAAAAACTTCTTTTACATCATCTTCATTTATTACTGCTTCTCCACATTTCTTTACAAAATCTGTTATTTAGATAATTTCATCTTTGTTTTGCTATATCCGAAAATCTTTAAAATTTGTGGCTATCGTCATCAAATTTAGCTATCATTCACTATATATAATTAGCTATGCATCATGAGCTTGGCGACTAACGACAAGATGTTCCATTAAATTTTATCTTGTTTCTATCGTGCATTGAGACAATTAAGCTTAAATTGTAATAGTTTAGTTATTAGTGCAAAGGGGCAATTCGCCCTGAAGGGCTATTAATTTCGATTTGGCATTTTTCATCGAAAACTTTAAAAAGCTGTATCACTTTTCAAATCGTTGCCACTATATAATTATCGCCCTGTCTTATATTTAAAGAAATTAAATAATGAAGAAATCTGCATAAATGTATGTATGTTTCTCTCTTTGTGATAAAACAACGGTACCTAGAATCATCAAAATTTGAATAACGTAATCTTCCATAGAATCCAGATCAACGATGTATCTATGTGGAATGCTTCCGTTTGAGATGTCTGCCAAGAAGATTCGCAACAGAGCCAAATTACTGATGGTACAAATTTATGTTAAAATGATTGTTTCTACAATAACAAGTCATTTTTTTTAGTGTTCAGGTGAAATTAAGAATCGGGACTCTCCAGATATTTTATTATGCACGGAGGAAGGAATCAAATGTGCATGCGTAAAGCCTACAAGAAAAACTTTGTTGGTGGTTTTGAAGTCCAGATTTTAGATCATTCCAGATTTTGGATGTCCGGATTTCAGACTTCGTACTGTACTTTCTTTTTCCTTCATCCTATGACAGCTTCCCTTTTCCAATCAAGGACTGATAAGGTACCATAATGAAAGGCAGCATTTCATGATGCTTTTTGAGAACACCCTGGAAACTCAATGAACGCAGGCACTTCTATCCACTATCAGCTGGTGCTTGAGAAAAGGAACCAAGCTCTCTTAAGTACCTCCTTTTCTTGAATCCTAGGAAACACTAATTTACAATCAAAAGAACTTATTTCCAATGTTTCCCGAGAATTACTTTTTAATCATAAAATAAAGGTGTTCTGCAACTTCAGCTTTAGTCCAAACAAAAAAATTTACAAACAGCATCTGATAGGATCTGGAGCAGCGGTTCTCAACCTTTTGACTAATGCATACCATCTAAATAAAAACTGAAAAATTTAAGTTCCACCGCTACATTTTACAATGATTATTTTTCAATTTCTCAATAGAAATATTCAAAATAAATATATTGGCTATTTGTTTTAAATATGCATACATAAAAAATATATTAGATTAAAAATGGGTTACCATTTTTATTACAAAAATTATAGTAATAATACTTCAATTTTAAAATTTAGTGCAAAATTTGAGCCTGTTTAAGTAAGGCAAATTTCTTTGTAAATTAGGATCCACTTTTAATATTGTTCTGTACTTAATTTTTAAATGTAACATGGAAGAAAATCCTTATTCACACAAATAGGTTGGCAAAAAGGCAATAAAAATTTAATAGCTTTATTTGAAATGCCTTTAAAGTTATTTTTCGGTTCAGCCAAAGGTTAACAAGTGCATTATTTTTTAAATCTTCAGAGTTCGGTAACAGGAAATTTCTTTCAATTTTAATTTTTCTTTATAAGATTTTTGAATTTAATAGTTAGACATATTTTGTTTCTTTGAGAGTACCGCCTATTGAACCTTGCGTACCACCTGTTGAGAATCCCTCGGCTAGAGCAAGGAGCCCAACTTACATGTGATATTTTGAAAGAAGATTAAATTTAAAAGTAGCAGACCATTTGTTCTCATTGTAAATCATAAGTAGTTGCCAGAGATTTTTATTTGAAAACATCCACTTTTTTAAAAATTCTTTATCAAGATAGTTCTAAAACGTGCTAACACCCACTGTATTTTTGACAAAACGTTTGGATCATATGGGTAATGAAACTAATTAGAAGTTACATAATGTATGCATTAAACTTTTTTTTTTCCAAATAACTAGTTAAATTGGTTCTTTTTTACAATATAGAGTAACATACAACAGGCTTTTAACCACCACATGCATGAGTATTCAATCTTCTCTGAAGAGCCAGTCTGTGTACATTTTATCAACCTGTCTGGAACTGCTTGTCGATGCACATGTGGAAAGGTTGAAGAATAAAAGTCATCTTGGCGAGAATAATAACCACGCCTGTTTTCTTTTTTATAAGTGTTATTTTTACTACCTCTGATGTACAACTTACAAAAGAATCAAACACAATGAACTAAGACATCCCAACAAAGTGTTCTCTGATTATATCTTTAGTGCACCACCATTTTCAACAGAAAGTGTAATGCCTTTTAGGAATTTATTTGACTGCAGCAGTGTCTTGCATTTGAACTCAATAAATGGAGGAAATTTATACCCTTCTATAGTACAGACTAGCATAACAGTAACATTCTACTTTTCACTTTCTGAAGAAAGGATTTTTATCCCCTCCCTTTTTCTCTTATTATATAATGCACTGTCATGACAAAACATTCTGGTGTTTGATTAGCATTTCCTATCTAATGGGAAAGATAGTTCTTTTCAGTACACTGTATTATTATGAAGTGCAGAAATTTGAACAGTTCTCTTCACAATTTTCTGACAACTTCTGCACAATTACCATAGTGTCAATGAAGCAGAACCCCTCCTCCCAACTATTTAAGCAGAATTAAATCAAATGCTGACCCGTTTTACCTTTTTTTTTTTTTTTTTTCTTTGGAGTAATTTCATGAGCTTGAAACTAAATAATTTTTAGCATCCACTGGTAGGCATTCCTCACACTACTCCACCATGAAATCATTTGAAACAACAAACATGATGGTAGCCATACTGTCGCCTACCAAATGTTTTTCTTTTGCTTAAGCATGCAAATATTTGGTCTGCCTTTGCCCCCATCTGATACTGCTTTTATCAATTCCATATCACTACTGATTGGATGTCTCTAACAATCGGAATCACTTTTGTTTCAAAATTGGTAGTATTGCCCAATTTTAAAAGCAACAGCTAAAACATCTATTTCATAGTTCATGGCATTAACTTGGTAACTCAATTTCCACCTACCTGAAAAAGCATCAGAAATTCATGGAAACTTATCTGTAGTGGCCTTTGATACTATTTTTCTAGACTTTTGACCACATTGGCAAAGGGTTTCACCTATTTTACCTATTGTATCAATTTTAATCTGAGGGACATCTTTTGAACAATGAAAAAAATTACAAAAAAAATCAACTTGCAAGTGGCAATTTGGAATATAATCTTTGCCCTCCATACAATACTGATTTTTTTCCCCCGAACAAGCAAAAGCATTTAAAACATTTTATTTTAAAATCAGCATCAATCAAACATTTATGACCATATTTACCTGATTTATGATAATAAATCTAGGTAAATCGGTGTCATGTTTTATTGGAAAATTATGTTCAATATCACAACTGCTGTTATGTTAAATTATATTAAAAATTTATATGAAAGGAATTATAGTTAATTTAATTAAGTTTAAAACTTAAACGAATCATGTTTAAGGCCACCCTGGATTATTTATTAACATAACTGACAAACAGAAGCAATTCTGTTTAGAATTCAATAGTAATGTTCAAATGAGCCCTTTCCAGTAAACTGTATGGAGAACTTTATCAGTACAAGATAAAACTGTTGGTAGGTGCCCTTCAAGAAACTGCTTTAAAAGTCATTCAGAATCAAGATAATGAGGAAAAAAAATCAAAACCAAGCAATAAATGTACTCCAGTGTTGAAACAACACAAACAGAAAGTCCTAACTTTATCACGAAGATCAATGAACCGAAGCTATAAGCTGCGAGTGAACTACTTTTTATTCAATGTATACACTTTTTTCTTAAATGATCAAAATTTTCAAATTCATATCAAAAATGAATAAATGATTAAGTAACCAAATTTTTAACTGTGCATCTGGTACAGAAATAATTATATTTCTCTAATCTGATATAATGTGAATGCTAACATTACTCATGGCAGATTAGAAACACTGAAATTTTTGTGATACACAATTATACCTTACCTGTTTTCGTCCAGACAGTTAAATGTTTTTTAAAGCTTTTTAAGTAAACAACAATGCTTAAGAACACAATAATGGGCATGAAATTATTTAAATAATAATAATATGATATATTCTTTATCACAAAACGCAAAAATAAATAAAAGAAAATTAGCAAGATATAAAAAGTCACCTCAGTTACTTTGTCTGTTATAAGCATGTCTACTTCATATGTCACATCTGTAAAGAAATTTTTTTTTAAGGAATAAATACAAATTAAGCACTACAATAGTTGTGCACAATTAAAGAAAACAGTAATTATATGCACATAGCTTACAAAACTATGCAATAAATGAATATCATAACAGTTATGATGAAACACACATAAATAAACAGAAAAATAAAGAACCATAATTTTTTGTATACGTATATTCCACATTGCACACATATTCCTTGCATTTCCTATAACCTGCACAGATTAATATCAACATTCAAGAAAACATATACTTCTCCACAGAGTCGGCTCAAGCCACAGCGGGGAATGACTGGATCCATTTTGAAGGACCCCAGGTTAAATAAAAAGCAAGAAATTTCAAACAATTTATTTTTATTACAAGATTATAATTTTTTTTATATTATAATTACCGTATTTGACAGCATATAAGACGCACCCTTATTTAGACGCCCACACACAAGGAATAAAAGTTTCAATAGCATGGTTTCTTTTAGTTCTCGCGTTTCGTAAAAGCCAATGCAATTACCTTCACGTATAAGACTGTGTCCTTCATGTATAAGACGCAGGTAACTTTTTTTAGACCAAATTTAGGAAAAAAAAGTGTGTCTTGTATGCCGTCAAATACGGTAAATTTTTCTAATTTTTTTCAGTAAAATTTTTTCAGTAAATTTCTAATTTTTCAAATATGATTCAAATCTAACTTACTACATTCCTGTGGTTCAGTCGAAATTATACCTAAGTTATTTAACTTATCTTGAGTCATTGTCGACCTCAATAGTTTTTTATAAGTTTCAACCTTGAAAATGATCTCTCACCTGATGCAACACTAAGTGATATTTTCAGGCATACTCTAAGAGCAATAAATAAATTCAGAAATTCTGTAGATTTTTTTTTTGTTTGTTTTGTTTTGTTTTTACAGAAAAATTTTAAGATTTTCAAAGGTGTTTCACAATGCTCCAGAACTACTGGTTTTATTGTCTCTGCTTCTTTTCTTCTGTCAACATATAACCATCTAAATCTGACTGTCTGATGCATTGAACTGTATCTTCTTTCAATTAAGTCACTGTGAAAGCCATTTTTAAATCAACCGCATGTTCCCGTAGTTCCACTTTATTCATTTGATTAAATTTTACTAAAAAAAAAAACAAAATAATTCTAAGTGAGCTTTTAACTGTTCAAATCTGTTGTTTAGTGACTTTTGTGCCTTGTCCAGAATAAGATTTAATAAAAATATTTCAAAATGATTCTAGCTGGATCTATCACTGATTCATCATTTGTTTTGTATTTTCTGTTGGAGTCTTTTATTTTGAAATACTGAAATAATTTCCAAATTTTCTGCAAGTTTTCTGTACTAAATAAAACAATTTTGAGTGCAGTACTTCTATATTGCATGAGCCAAAACAAAAATTTTTCTAAAGATGAAAAAGCCATAGAAATTTAAAGAATTCCCATAAACAAAGAATTTTGAAGTTCATTGCTTACAATGTCAATACAGTCAAGTAAACCATGCTAAAAATTAAAGGAAGTGTGAATTTATAACATCTATTTGAATTTGAAAGAGATTCTGATTCTTTTTAATTTGTGCATCTGTAAAGTTTTCTGATATTTCAAGAAGCACAACACAAAATTCACCTAGCTGGTACCTTACTGCTTTGAATAAAACATTTCCACCTTGCATCATAAACAGGCTTGATGGTAAGATATCGCACAAATTTCAAAAGTACTGCCCATCTTTTTGTAAATGCTGAAAATACAACATAAAGGGGCTGAAATGTACAAAAAATATTATGGTATCAGAACATATTTTAGCTATATCTTCCAAAACTTAATTACAGTTGTTGCATGTGCTTGAGAATTTTTGGTACTTCTTTGTTATAGTGGGCCCCAAGATTGAATCGACAATCAACCGAGATAGCTTGCAAAATCTGGCTTATGTTAACATTGACGCATGATCACTGCGTTGCAGTGTGTTTCATTCTTGCTCTCTCGACATGTTCTTTTATTATTCATTTTTTTTAATGTTTTCTAATTCAAGTTATTTAAAAATATACTCATTGCTTTTTTATGTGAATATTACATTAAGAATCTTTAATTTACCAAGTAATGAGGAAGATACCATATTGTTTTTCAAGAAAGAGGTCTCCTTAACCTGACAAACAAGTATAAATATGAACATTAAACTTTACGTTAACAATAAACCATGTGAAGTACAATGTTAAAAATTGCAAAAAGGGCTTCTGTGTTGGATATTGGTTCAGCAGTTCCAGAATATCATTAGTTACTGCTATTAGATTTATAGTCTTGGGCAGAGGAACTGATGACCAAGAAATGGTGCAAAAAACAGCTTAATATGTACAAAAGTGTTGCAATTGACTGGAACAATTACATGCGATAAAATAACAAGGATAAGGATTCTAAAAATATTCTTATAAAATGACATGTGAATATTATTGTTATTATTATACACTGTGTTGTTTACTTTCAGATTCACACTTCACAAGCTAGGCAAAATTATAGTTGAGATCTTGGCTCAAACAAATCTAAAATTGCCCAATATGGTTGGGGGCTGCTATAACAAAGAAGAGCTGAAATTTCTTTAAAGTCTTGCCTAAACACCACAATCCTTTCATTTAATACTGGACCTGATGTCATAATCTTGCCATCTTATTACAATAATGTCCATTTCTAAAGATCTAATTTCTCATTTCGAAACATGATATAAAACCAGAACTGTCATCAACATAAATAAATTAATGAACTCATTAACACTGATTGAACCTGATAATGATAATACTATCTGAGACATATCTGATAGTAGGAGGCATTTGTTCTTGGTGACTGATACCTGGAGCATTAACATGAAACACTGCAAATTAAATTAAGTTGACAATTCATAATCATCTTTCCAAATTAAAAAAATTTAGAGAATTATAGAATGAGTTGAATTCAAGATTTGAAACGAAAAATGAAATAAGTTATTATTATTCAAATGCAAAAGATTTTAGATGGCTTACCCAAAAAATACCATTCATTTAAATCACGATAGTTATTCTTGTATGAAGACAAGCAAACAGTTGATGAGTTAACAGCATAGTTTTGCTCTCACGAAAGAGAATTTAAAAGTCATGAGGAAGGTAAAACACGTGAACAAGTAGCATTATTAATGGCAAAATAATATATATATATAAAGCAATATAAAAAAGACAAATTCTGAAGAAAATCAAGAAAAAAGAAATTTTCAATTATTGCAAGCGGAAATAACACTGAGTAAAACAGTGCAAACAGCTGATTACTAGACCACCCAAAAAGCCAACTAAAACCATTCAAGAAAATACAGGTATTGCAATACTGATGTCCATTCATGAAGAACCCGGTATAGCTGAGATTAATCCAACATTATTCTGAATTGATAGCTTTTGACTGAGGAGCTACAAGACATGTTATGAACTGTTCTATATAACTTTTTGATTTCGTGAAGTTTCACAATCATTGTGGTATAAGACAGCTGGAAAAAAAACCAATCTAAAAGATATTTAGAATATCACAGAGAGAATATCACCTCAGATAAACAGAAATTTATTTTATTTTACTTGCTGCTCAAAAAAGAAATCAGAATAGTACATTTATCGCAACAGCTATAGAATGCTGGTTAAAAGCTAATGGTCAAGTAGTGCTGTTTGGAACTTGAAGTGTACATGGTACTTTATATAAAGTAGCTATTGAACAAATTATGCCTGAGAAAATTATAGAAGAGCATGCTGCTGAAACACACAATTCCTTGTTGCAGTTATATCATCAGAGATGGGGACAACAAGATAAAATTCATATTAAGAATATCCTTGAGAAAGAATTAGACATCAAAGAGTTATTTGAAAGAAAATTGTGTGAACCTTGTGTTTTTGGCAAAGCACACCATTTATCATTTGGCATAAGATAGAAAACCAGCAAGCCTGGTGAATTAACTTCAGCTGATGCTTGTAGATCTTTTGAACAATCTTTCCTGATATTTAATTGTGTTTTAAAGATAGTTACACAAAATTTCGGTGTATCTACTTTATCAAGGAAATGTCTGAAGTTGTAAATATTGCATATGCTTCCACATAGCAAATATACTTGGGACATTCAATCAAAGTATTTCTTATCAACAATGGGGGCGACAAAATTACTTAAATGCACTTTTGCATTCTGAAGTAATAACTAAAATATTAACACTTTATACTCCCGAGCAAAATGGCTCCAGTGAATGAGATTGCAAAAACATTTAAGTACTTAAATTCTGAAGGTCATTTTGCTGCAGCAGTAAGGGCTAAGCTAGTCAACACTGCCTCATATGTACAAACAGAACTGGAAAATCATTAAAAGAAGCATGAGTTCTTTTGAGCTATGGATGAAAAAGAAACCTTGAATAAAGCATTTACATATAACAGGACATGCTTGTTATGCTCATATTCCTAAGCAAAGAAGGAAAATGGATAATAAAGCTTTAATTGGGCATGATGGAGATGAAAGATATCACCTATGGATCAAAGAAGCCAACAACATGATCTGTTCATGTGATGCTATATTCAATGAGGAAATCACAAACTGTTAAGAAAGGGTGCGGTTACCTCTTCAAGATTAAGACAGAATTTCTGGCTCTGAATATCAAGAAGATTCAGAAAAAGATAAGTCAGAAAAGTTTCTTAGTGAAGAAGATAATTCAGAAAAAGAACACAATGAAGAAATATCCAGAAAGACATCAGAAGATTTTGAAGAACAAGAATGTGAAGTTATTAATTTGCAATATAATGCACAGTCAAGATACCTAAGAAAAAATGCTGAATTGAGAAAGCCAAAGTGTATTAAAGGTTATATAATGATAAGTGAAGCTTTGATTGCTGATTCTGAAAAGCCTGGCACTTACGAAGAAGCGATCAAATGTAAACAAAACATACATCGGAAAGGAGCTATGGATTCTGAGATGACATCACTGATGGAAAATGAAACATGTCCTTTAGAAAAATTA